GTTATAATAGTTTGACCAATGTATATGACCTGACAATCATTGCAGGGTATTAGATAAACTAAATTGTTTTGTTTTAAAGGCTCTACAGGATCCTTTAGCCGACAAATTGAGTTTGTGGGTTTGAATGCCATTTTTATTCCTGCCTTGTTGAGAATTCTGCGTAAGGCTTCCGAGGTTCCTTCTTTGTATGGAATTACTACTGATGATTTAGACTCTTTATTGTTGGTGTCGTCATCAATATTATTATTATTGTCACTATTATCATTATCATTATTATTGTTATTATCACTATCGCTATTATCATTATTTATTTTATTTTTACATTTCCTTACATATTTCCTGACTAATTTATCCGGGTAATTATTAAGTTTCAAGGCTTCTTTTATATGTATCAGTTCTTGGTTTAGATTTTCTTTGGTACTACTTAATTTTTGTGCTCTGTCATTTAAACATTTCACCAATCCTATTTTTAACTGACATAGGATGGGATGATTGGAAGTTCAAATATCTGTTTGAGTGTGTGGGTTTCCTGTAAACACTAGTGTTTAACTTCCCATCTTCTTTCCTCTTTACGTTGCAATCTAACATTGGGAGCTCCCCTTCCTGATTTTCCAATTCATAAGTGAATTGAATTGCCTCAACCTTTGAGTTTATGTGTTCGAAAAACCTATCTATATCTTGCGCTCTAAGTACAGTGAATGTGTCATCTACGTACCTCCACCATACTTTTGGGGTGGGGGTGAACGTTTCAATCGCTATGCTTTCCCACTTATTCATGAATATATCTGCTACCACTGGAGATATTGGTGATCCCATGGCAACTCCTTCAGTTTGTTTGTATATTTTCCCTTGGAATTTAAATACTGTGGAAGTCAGGCATAGCTGTACTCCCAGCATTATGTCCTCAAGTGGCACTTTTGTCCTAAGTTGATATGATTATGAACAATAAATTTTGTTCGAAACGTCATCCAGTAAATAATACTGTTTCTCTGTGTGATATACCTAATAGACAAACTAATATGGAAATACTTACTACCACAGTGCCCAAGTTTTACACATATATTAACAAGAACAACAGTGGTTTGTGCAGAATATGTATGGTACCATCCTTCGTTTATTTCGTTGGCTTCTCATCAGCCGCTGCTTACAGCCTAAATAAATTATGAGGTTTATGTGCGGAAAAGTTTTAACATACTTGAAAATTTTGCATGATATCAGTTTACAGGAGGTTTGGCAATTAGTGAACAGTGCTCAGAAAATTACGCTTATATAGTTTTTACACAGGCAGTTCAAGTTTAAACAAAATAAATGTATGCATACAATGGTAAAGGGGTTACGTAATAAAGACGAGAGATGCGTAAGACGCAGAGTGACTAATAAATTAGGTAACAATGTACTGAGTTCAACTCAAATCATAGAAACAAGAGACAAGAAACCCCTTTGATATAGCGTAATTTTCTGAGCACTGTTCACTAATTGCGGAACCTTCTGTCAGCTGACATCATGAGAAAAAATTGCTAATGAGAAGCCAACGAAATAGACAATGGATGGTACCATATTATCCTGCACAAACCACTGCTGTTCTTGCTTTATTCAAATCTTACAGGACAGTCAGATTCTTAGGTATTTCTGAAAGTTAGATTTTTTTTGGAGAAGGCTCTGTGTGTACAGTACATTGAGAGTATATGAGGCATTTCGCTGAACAGTATTCTCACACTGTTCATATAAAATATTTAGATTTTATTTCTAGGAGTCTTAATTTGGTGTTTTTTTAGCAGTGGATTGTAGAATCTATCTTTTCCTGTTTATATTAATAGCTGCATTTCCCACTGGGAAACAACCCTTTAACGTATTTAGCACTCATTACTCACTACAAGCATGAAACCTAGGTCCAAGGTTTGCTGCCGATCACCTCCAACCATCTTGTATCGAAAATTCAAAGTAAACCGGGATTACGAGCTACCTAGAATAGTGACCACATTGCAAACCTAACTGATTGAATTCAGTCTGTACTAAACAAAGGACTAGAAACATCACACCAGTTACTAGTATCCAATGAAAGTATCCAATGCAGTTCTACAGAATGTCAATCGCGAGCTCAGTGGTAACGTCTCTGACTGCAGCTCTCACTGACTGACAAGGGTTCGAGTCTCAGAAAGGACATGAGTTCCTTCATGGTTGCAGATACGCCTTGCTGATGAGTGCCAACTAGCACGAAACCTGGTTGGAAGGCTTCCTGTCGATTGCCTCCAACCATCTAACATCAAAAGTAACCTTTTATTGACACACACACCCTTTAATAGTTGGCAATCCAAGTCTTGATAAAAAAACACCATCATAAATCCATGCATATTCAACTGAAAAGTTTGAAACAAACTGAAGTGAACATTTAATTGTAGGTAAATCCTTGCAAAATCACTGAACTGAAATACACTGATAACAGTTATAACTGAATTTTATCGACCAGATGTGTAAGAAGCTTATTTTGTTGGCAGTGGATGATCTTATTGATTCCATCCGATAAAAAATATGAGACTTAGCTGTGTCTTAATTTTTTTTCTCTCAACGCATACTGGATCGGTAAATTCCATAATTAATTACTTGCCTTGAAATAATTGATTGCCTGAATTCACCTCAATCACTAGATATCTTGAGTATGTTTTAAGAAAAGAAAAAACAAAACAAAAAACTTAACATAATTCACTCATACACAGAATAAACTTTGGTGCACTTGAGTGGAGGTAATCATCATCGCAAAATTTCACATGTACAGACTAATTGTAATTTTCTTATGGATACAATTATTGATTAAACTTCTTATTTTAACAGTTTATTTTGAAATAGTGTGAGATAGTATCAAATTAAATTTCGTTTTACAAGAAGTCTACCTTAGTGAGTAACCTGATCGGTTTTGCATATGATCTCTTATTTTTGGACTTTATTATTGGATATATTATTGCTCCCTTGGGTCCCAAGTGGAACATAGGGCTTCAACAGAACATCTCCACTTCGTCCTATTCTTTGAAGTTCTCTTAAGCTGGCCTCACGATTGTTCATAGTGTTTCATCTCCTCCTCCCCACACGATCTCATCCATATCACCTTTCGACCAACGCTCCACTTGGGTTCCACTCAAGGGGCCTGTCTGGTGAGATTCTATTCACCGGTCTCCTCAACGTGTTTCCGATCTTCTGCATATTTTTCCAGCAATAGTTTCTTGATTAGCTTGTTCACAGGATTTCTTGTCGCTAATTCCTTCTGGATAACTGATCTTCAACACATAATCGCCAGCAGTGACATTGGCCAGTGGTAGCGCTATGTCGTGAATTGGCAGAAGTTGTAATTCATGTCCTGGCCATTGGATCGGCGGGTCCTAGTGGCTGAATGGCCTACGAGCTCACTGGCCTTGTACCCTTGGCGTCCTGGATTCGAACCCTGGTGGTGAGTGCGTACTGGTGAAGAGTCCCAAACTAGGACGTAGGAAACAGCTGTCCAGTACTCCCTGGTTGTTTTCTAATGGTTCTCTAACTGATGTCAGCTCATGATGAAATCCTTTAATTTAGGATAGTTTAAATAAGTAACTACTAAAATACTGACAACGTAAAACATATTTCTGATATAGATATAATTACGTTTAAAATGTTTTTGAAGGACTTTAGAATCTTTGAAAGTGTTCATTATCCATGTATTTTAAACATATAATAACCTGTATAATAATCCAACAGAAAACCTTAAACAGGCTACTGATAAATGAGATGTATTGTAAAGATGTTTCACTCGACTTCATTTGAACATCTAAGTAACTGGTTTCAGAAGAAGAAGGCGAAATTTGCCCCCCCCCCCCACGCCCCACCAACTCACTGAATTTCGGTTCACTGACATTGACTTTCATGGGAGGGGGATTTATGTGCAAGACACTAATCGGCTTAGCATATCAAAATAATTAGCACATAGGATTTTGTGTTCGTACACACCAGACTCTTAAATAAAGCCTGAATGGGAAGTAATCGGTTAAACATCCAAAGATGACATTGCAGGGATCATGTGAGGTGGGTGGGAAATGAAAGTTTGTGGGCAGTGTGTTGTAGAAGAGATGATGGAGGACAGATTGCGGTAAACCTGTGCCTCTAGAGCTCTATGAATAACATTAATCATTTACTCTACAGTTTATATTCATTACCAATCTCCTTTATTGACACAGGCCTTATACGAGGTCAACTTATAATGTTAGACTCTATATTTAAAGTTAGCCACAATTGCTCTGAAACACTCCGAAACAAAATGGAAACACAATATTAATAGAAATTTCTGTATTGAACTAAATTTAAGCAACAAAAAAAAACGAAACAAAACAAAAGGCATGATATTCTGTTGTTGTAAGCTTTTGTAAAAAACACTAGAGTTCATTCATTATTTCCAAAATAACCTCTTTTAGTTTACTGCCTAATCCCATTAAATTTATGATGAAACTTAAAACTATTAACTAACCTTCTTGGTCGTTATGGTAACAGTTTTCATCTCCTGTTTTACATTTACTATCTTACAATTTAATTGGTTCATTTAGACCTTTTTTTTGTACTTAAATTTCATGTTATTCAGAAAAGAGTGGTTGGTTGAAATTACCCGCCTTTATTTATGTTCAGTAAATTTTTAAACGTGTAGTTATTTGTTTAAATAATAAGTAGATTTCTTCATTAGAAAATAATAATTCAACCATTTATCCTAGAAGTGTTAATTTGAATCAGAACAGGAAAGACAGGGACGCCCACACACACACACGCACACACAGTTTTAAATCACTGGTGCTGATAAACACCATATCACATAATATAAGATTATTAGATAACATTATTACTCGATATGAATAGTGTTCACAGTCACAATAACAAAAATCAATAGATGATTGCTTGCAAAGCATTTTACCAACATTCTAATAATAATGTTGATTATATCAATAGGATTGTTATCAGACATATGAATAACCTTGAAATTTAGGTGTATACCAAGAAGCATTTATATATATACATATATATTTGTCAAATGAAAAATAACCATCCTATAGACATTTCACTGGTTAACAACTCCCACTTAATAATAAGGGAGAGGAGTGATTTGAATGCATTACACGTGAATATTCCGCATACACCTGATTTTCATGCTACTGTTGATGTTGATTATCAGAATAGCAGAGGTGTATCCGATTTGCACTGCTTAAAAACTGAAAGCACTATCACAGCTTCTGATAAAAATAATGTTGTTATACATCAAATAATGGAAGATAGTAACAAGGAAATGCCGTATTTATTACGTAGTCATTCATTCAATCCGTATGACTATCCAGTGGAACATTATTACTATGACAGGACAACTGATAATCATATCCGTATGAATAATGACCATGGTAATAATGACCTTGAGTGTACAACATCTCATCCAACAGGATCGTTGAAACCACCGCATTTACCACCACGTAGAAATCAACGATCGACTGATTTGCTTATTTACACTGTTCCAAGATCACCGTCAGATACTTGTTTGATTAGCAGAAAAGTAAGTCATACTTGTTCGTGATTATCTATTTAAAATGATTACTTTCTTAACTATATTTTTAACTATTTATAAACTAAGTTATTTTGAATTTAATACTGTTTAGTCACTCGATTCTTACGATTCGGAGATAAGTCCATCGAAAAAGTATGCACAAGACTTCAGCGATGATATAAATGATGTAAGTGCTTTACCTGGTGAAATCTTATCCGGAAACAATAATTTTGAAGCAGTACAAGAAGATTCGAGTGGTTTAAGCTTAAAAATGTCCAATAAATTATCAGTTGAAAATCATCGAAAGGATACTAACAATAATCCCACTGTGATAAATAATGGTAACAGTAATAATAATAACATTAATAATCAAGGAAATAATGGAGTCAGTGAATTTCCAGCTGCACATTACACTAATGAAAATATTTCATCTCATCCTCAAATACTTCGTCAAAATTCACCTGGAGATTTCAATCAGTTCAATGACATATCTCAAATGATGGAACGAAGTGATCCAGTTTCCAGTAATCGTGATAGAATTGAAGATAGAATGAATTCTATTGACCATGGAAGAGGAAAAGGTTTACTACAACGGTATAACACTGTACAGATGTCGACTGCAACAGCTAGGGACTTAAGAAGTGTAAGTCTTGTTATGAAATAATTAATACATGCAGCATTTGGGAATATTTTCGTGCATACTGATCTCCAGTTTCATTTTACTGTCTTATAGCTCGTTAAATGTCTTTAAAGTTGAGATTTTTGTTTCAGTACACTGAAACCATGAAGTTGACTCTTACTGATAAACACAAACAATAACAAAAACCAGGTGTAAGGTTCCTCTTCGACTAATACTTCGGGTACGAGTTGAGATGTTATTCAAGATTTGTAGAGATTCAAGCATAAAACTTGGGCACTGTGGTAGAGTATAACTCCATAATGGTTAAGATTTTATTTTGATAAATCACACAGTGTTGTACAGTTATATTAACTGATGACGTTTCGAGCACAAACTATTGCTCATAATCATATCAAGTTGTAGAGATTCCTGAAAATTGCTCCTCATTGTCCTACTTCTTTTCAAAATGCATCGTTTAAGGGTAACTCTCTAACTACAGAAATGAGCGACGCTGATGTGAACCAATGAGAGGTCATCAGACCCTCCGTATTTACAGATGAGTCACATTATCTATCTTAGTAACTCCATCTCATATCTGTTCGGTGAATTTCCAACAACATTTCAGATTAAACAGCTAAGTTATTTATTGTGGTAGTATATAATTCCATATTAATTTGTTTGTTGAATATATCATACAGTAAAACAGTTATTTTACTGGATGATACATCCAATAAACGAATTCATCGTCAGGTGATCAATTCACATACGTGATCCAGATATCAGTTGTTACGTGAATAGCTTTGTGATAGTATCCCTAACTTAAACACAAAATGACACAAGTTTGAATCTTCTATGGAGCGTGAGTTTCTTAAATATTACAGATGTTCTTCACTGGTGATTGCTAACAGATACATAATCCGTTCGAAGTACATTGGTGAATTCTTCTCACTGAGTCAAAATAATTGATCTAAAAGGTCAAAGTGGACTAAGTGAATTATTTTCACCTGTTCATGGTGCTGACTATAAAATACTAAATGACCATTTGAAAACAAACTGTGCAGATCTATTATATTACCAACAGTAACTGTTATTATGGATTCATTAAAAAGACGGTTGCAGCGAAGAGAATTTTCTTTTTTCGACGAAGTCATCAACTAGGCTGTACATTCGTGTATTTATATTACATATGTGAGGAAGTTCCTTGTGTCCGCCCGTAAAACGCGCGTCGGAACACTATCCAGCATCGTTAGCAAAGGGAGAACTGTAAGGAGTATACAGTTCGATAACAGAACATCTGGTGAATTCTGAACATTCGACCCCATTTGAAAAGTTCTTCAAAGCCATATACAAGATCCGATCCAACCTACCAAAGGGAGTGAAATCAAGACATCTAGGAATAGCTGAGGCACTGGCGATTCAAAAACTCAAGCCCACGCTATGTGTTAAAAAGAAATACGTCCAACTGTTGTCCCTACCGTGGCCGTCATGAAAAGTCGGTCTCACCAATAATGATTATCCTATTACATTTCTATGTCCAACCTTCCCGTTTATTTGTTATATTTACTTTTTAAATCCCTATCTGCATTATTAGATTTGGTTACTGTTTTTAGTTTTATATGTCCGAACCTCCTACCCATTTCGTTAATACTACCATCCTTAACCCGTAATTATACAAACTGACGAGTTTTCCAGTAATTATAATCCTATTTTGTCTTTTCTACCCAATCTTTCTGATTATTACACATTGTTATTTTTAATCTGACCTCTGACCTCTGACCGGAAACAATTCTGGAACTTTCTCACACATGTAATATAAATACACGAATGTACAGCCTAGTTGATGACTTCATCGAAAAGAAAATTTTCTTCGCTGCAACCGTCTTTTTAATAATTCCTATGATCCAATGTGTATATTATGGATTCCAAAAATAGTAATATAATAACGATGTGTCATTCTCTGAAATGGAATATTGAAGAATGGTTACTCTGTCTGTGATATATTATTATTTTGTAACATACAACGGACTCATTACGGTAAGTCTAGAATTACAGAATCGTATCCTACCCACCTAATTAAACAATGGAGTCACCTTATTGATTTTTACTTCCTACTCAGTGTCAATGAATTTTACTGTTATCGTCAAGTGCAGAAATATACGCTATTAAAACGTTCAATTTTTAAAAATACTGTTCTTTAAGGGTCATACTTGCTAGAAAGTATGTTCTGGGCGTATCCGTGGATTTCAGTGTAGATTATAGTTAGGAAAAGTACAATAATGGCTTTATGTATTATAAACCATATATGTGAACTTATATATTTGCATTAGGTCACGCTAGGTAAATGACAGTTAGAGATTAGAATTTTATTGATTTTCTGTAAATCATAAGCACCTGAACAAATGTCAGTTAGTTTAATCTTCTTTATGTGTAGTTTCTTCTGGAAAATTTGAAAGTGCATAAAAACACAAATACGACAGAAAACAGTGAAAAAAATGAGTCATGTACAGTGATCATTTGTCAAAAAATAATCGAGTTTCAGTCACTGAGTTAAGTGATTTAAAGTGGACTCCTTTTAATATTAGATGTTTGAAGATAAAAGGAATGTTTTCGTCCTCACGTCCGACCTGCTGTACCCTACTGGTCACGATTTCCCACTAGAACCCCAGGTAACTACCTACCTGAATACGGCCAGTCACTAGTGAGCATCTCATTGATATTCAAGTATTGGTTTGCAGGGATTTGATTGATTGGTTACAGGATTTCATCATGAGTTGACATCGGTTAGTCATGACCAGTGGGGTCTATCCAGTCGGGTGTGAGGACAAATAATCGCCGAAGACATTGGCTAGTGGTCGCGTTATGTCGTAAACTGGTAGAAGCTGTAATTCATGCACTGGCGATTGGATTGGCGGGTCCCAGTGGCTTAGTGGTCTACGAGCTCGCTGGCCTTGTAACCAGGAGGTCCTGGGTTCGAACTCTGGTGGTGGGTGCGTACTGGTGAAGAGTCCCGAACTAGGACATCGGAAACAGCTGTCCAGTACTCCCTGGTTGTTTTCTAATTGTTCTCTAACTGATGTCACGAAATCCTATAACCAATCAATCAAATCCCTACAAACCAATACTTGAATGTCAATGAGATGCTCGCTATCGACTGGCCCTGGGGTTCTAGTGGGAGTTCGTGACTAGTAGGGTACAGCAATAAGAGAGTTAATTGCTAACAACCGATACAATAAACGTTATAACCCTGATGCAAGGCGTATATCTTTAATACTTGCTTTGCACCTGAGACATTCAATTAACCTTTCGTTAAACATCACAGACTCACAGTAACATCTCTGACTGAAGGAATAGGTGAATGGGGTATAGAATCCCACCAGAGAAGGACTTTCGTTAAGGCTGTTGACAGCTATGAAAAGCAATCCTAGATTCCTCTGGCTACTGAAAACAACTAAATGTTAACAATGAAGCTTCAGAATTATTAGATTTTAGTTACGCATCCATACTTAGAGAAAATCTGACAAAAACGTTGGATATCAGATTATCGCTGTTCATTCTGATTTAAAAAATCCACTATAACAAAGCTCATTTATGAAATGAAATAATTTTGTCAGGTAACCTGTAAAATAAGTTCTATATTACATCAGTTGATCATAAAGGAGTGAGAATTGTCAGGTGTCTATTTCTTAGTGCTAACTGAATTCTATCAGTCAAGTTTGCAATTTGGGCACGAAGGTAGGCCACTCGCCATCCCATTGCACTCTGAGCTGATGTAAGGTGGTTGGAGACAATCATACGGAAGTCCTGGTCCTTGGTTTTGTGTTTATTGGCGTTCATCAGCATTATGTATCTGCAACTTCGAAGGAACTGATTCATTCCGAGGAGCTTCAAATCCACAGTCACATATGTCATCATTGAGAGATTCAAGTTCACATCATCACATAACTAATTAATCCGAACACATGTAAGTCGATGTCCCGGAGAAGGATAGGAATCACCATTTCATGTCACGTGACAAAATCAGCTTGAATTCTTGATGACAGGATGAAACATCATCGTAGTCTGCATCATTTATATGCATAACTGTTATTTCCAAGACTGTATATATGAAATTGCTTAAATGCCTCGTAAAGTCAAACACATGACGATATGTTAAACATTTTTAATGACTAGGGAGCACTCTTAGCAGACTAGTATAAGCTTTAGAAATTGAGAAAAAAAGATGAATAACACTCGCTTATTAGTAAACTTTGGTCAGCAGGAACAAGAATATAGATTTTTAGTCTGTGGGAGAGCTAGTGATTTAAAGACTGACCTCATCTTGAGTTGACACCATCTGGATAAGCATCAAAAACTAAAAAAAGTATTATACGTAAGTTTTTCTAATGTGAGCTACCCTATCCCATTAATTTAACAGTGCCCTACCCAGTCGATCATGAGGTCGTGAGTTAGTACTGCTGAAAAGTCCCAAACTGGGATGAAACAGCTGTCAAGTGCTCCATAACTCTTAATGGTTCGCTAATCGATATTGATTTTCAGCTAAGTGATTAAAATGTTTCGAAACAGTAATCAACAGTCAGTTTAGAAGACTTATGTCCACATATTAATCACCGACATATCTGAAGATATTAAATTCACGAGAGAAGAAGAACCAGACAACAAAATTCCATTCTTAGATGTCTTAATCAAGGGAACTAACACAGGAAATTCGGAAACACAAGTATACAGAAAATCAACATGTCATCAACACATGTCGAATACTCAACTATATTAGCAACAACCCAATGATTCACAAAAGAAACTGTATGAAGACATTGTTTAAAAGAGTTCAAACACACTGTATCACTCCAGTGATAAAGAGAATAGAACAGAAATACCCACTGGCTTCAAGAAGAATGAATACCCATACAATTTCATCAAAAAATGTTTGAACTCAAATCGACGTACCAATAAGAAACCATCCTAAAAGGCCACAAGAAAATTCGTACTGCCTTATATAAGGAAAATCTTTGAAATAACGACTAGTATATTAAGACCATTTGAAATAGACATAGAACACAAGCCAATATAATCAGTTCACTCAATATTGTCCAGACCAAAGGATCCAACAGCAAAAGAGGACAAGATCAATACCATTTATAAAATAAATTGTATGAACTGTGATAAGCACTACATTGGCCATAGTGGGCATCCTCTTCGAGACCGAATTCGGCAACATAAATTATCTGTGAAAAGGCACGATATGTATTCTTTCACATCGATGCATGTAGACAATTATGGACACCAGTTTGATTGGGATAATGTAGAAATCTTAAATATATGTGTAACACCGAAAATGCCGGGGAATTTCTAGAAGTCTGATGAATCAGCGATTAACAAACACATTACTACGGATCAAATTTACCAACTAATAAAAAAAAATCACATGACAATGAAGTTCAAATTCCAGGTCAATAAAGATCATTAGTGTAAACAGACAACCAATCACAGCAGTGGTTGTTAGGAGATACAAACGATTATATGATTCATGGAGAATTCAAACAATTTCACTTCATATGGAAGCCGGCGCTGAAGATAATGTCTAGAAGGACAATGAAAGCCTCGTAATCAAATCTGTCAGCTCAGGGAAGACAACTAAATCAAAAAGTTTCTTTTCCTTTCTTTCTAAGTAAACTAGAAAATGGACCTTTGGACAACCTTATCAGAAAATTCTCATTTTATTGCCGGTATATGGATGACACCTTCATTCTTTGTGATAATGATTCGGATAGGAATACAATAATAACTGAATTCAATGAAGTACATTCTGCTATGAAATTCACGTGCGAAGAGGAATCCCAAAACAGAATTGCCTTCCTGGATGTCCTCCTTACAAGAAAACCAGATGGTAGCATAAAGAGAAATTTGCATAGGAAAAGTACATGGACAGGACAATATACACATTTTCACAGCTTCGTTCCTCTCAAGTACAAAAGAAATTTAGTAAAGACCCTCAGCCACAGAGTTAGAGCTATATGCTCAGAAGACGTAAGTGAAGATGAACTAAGGATTGTATATGATACCTTGATTGAAAATAGCTATCCCGACAAATTTATCAAGAAACACATGACAAAGAAAGCGGAAAAGGACTACTCACTATCTGTAAACAAGAAGCCTTTATATATACGACTGCAATTCAAGGGCGATATACCTAGCGAAATAATTACGAAGAAGTTAAGGAAATCAGTTCAAAGAACTTTTAATGCTGACAAACTACACGTCTTATTCTCTACACGACCGATGGTGATCTTCAATTGAAAGATGAAGTACCTAGACTAGCCACTTCCAATTGTATCTACCAATTCAACTGTGCTTGTGGTGGAGCGAGTTATATTGGCCGTTGCTCTAGGAATTTGATTTTTGCGCTCGAGAACATCTACCAGTATGGCTAAGTAAAGGTGTAGTGGAAACCATCAACAATTCGATATTAAACCACCTGGTCCAAAACAGCCACAAAGCCAGCATTGAAGAATCCTTCTCTATCATCTACCGGGTACCAAATAAATTGCCTAAAACATCGTGGTACCACATGCTCCAAACAGCAGAGGCTATCGCCATTCACGTGAAACAACCAGTGCTTTGTGTGCAAAAGAAGCAAGTCCATCCACTCCTACTGCCCTGGACGGTGTTCAGTAGAGACTATAAATTCATGAATTTGTATTATTATCTTTCCTAATTTGCCTTTCTGATATTCAGTGTATTGTTATGTTGATGCTATCGAACTGTAATCCATTGTTATTATTATTACTGATTCATTTTTGTTTAAACAACATTAATGTTGTTAATAACACTAATTCATTCACTATTATGTATATATAACTGTAGAACCTGTTGAAGAAGGGGTTATCGAAAAGAATATTCATTGTTCAGTAACCATTCCTTTCAAAAAGCCTTGAACCTCTACTGTATTTACTGCGACTATCTCTCAATGTAATCAGAGCAAATATTTAGCGAGTTTATAACCAGCTTAACAAGTTAATATGTCATACTTTATAATAAGCTAAAATGTGTATAAATAACTGTGTAGATTTACTATACTTTTTTGAGGAAGATAAGAACATAGAATTCAGTCATCCTAAAGCTAGATATTTCCTGTAGTCAAAAAAAATGTAGCAAGAGTCCATTGAAATGATTTTCCACCTCTCACTTTTAAATAAGTACTTCTGTTAAGATGGAAATTCAGCTTAGCAGTTATGTTCGAACTGCTTTAGTGTGCATACGTGAATGTCTATGATATTATTATCTTGGTAGTAGGTTATATCTGCGGGCTGAATGACCTAAAGTAGGGTGTATCAGTCAATAAGTCATCGTTTTTCATATCTCACATTAACATTTTTGTATCGAAAAGCTTCTCTATTTATGAGAGGGACGAGTACAGTCTTTCGTTCCTGATTTGGTCAATGGGTGAGGTTTGTAGACCAGTCAGTAGGACTTCCATCGCTTAAGTCCTACGACGATTAAATTTTCCGTATCGAATTCAATAATCAATGATTAGCTGATTATGTAATTAGTTTGGTCTATTCCTCAAATGATTCGGTATCTATTTTTCTGTTTTATTCATATTTCAGCACCATAACCTTTCAAAAAGTGTAGTTAATTCAGGTAGTCCCCAACCCTATGACAGCAGTCAAGTAACATCGCCTGATGATACCCAACTGAGTATGTCGTTGCCAACACAGCCATCAAATACTTCCAAATATGCAGACACTGACAATCTCCAATCATTTTCAACTCTTCATACAAGTCTTCCAGTAACAAGTGACAAATCATTTCAGGTTTTACAAACATTAAATAATGTTATAGATAACAACAGAGTTTATACAGATGGACATATGCGATTTCGCTCAATGCATGGTGGTGCAGAGGATCCTAAATTCCCCTACACTAGAATGAATTCGAAGACATCCGTTGATGATGTATCTCCTGATAGCGTCCAACCTGTAGATATTCAAAAGATTCATAATGAAATTATCGCTAAAGAGAGCAAAAGAAAAACAGTGATAAATCCTGGTGGGAGCCCATCAGCACCTACCAGCTCCTTCAGTCAACGTGGAAAGATAAGTGGTGCAACACTTTCATTTCATCATATTTCTTACGAAGTAAAACTCCGTAAAGCAACCTGTAGTAAGCCAGTCATAAAAACTGTCTTGAATGATATAAGGTAAGTCCAAGAAACCAAGAATTGAAGATATTTTCAACTACAGCAGTTTTGTATTGGCTACATTTTTCTAGTTACATTTACGCATGTTTAACTCTAGTAATGTACAACTTGCAATGCAGATAATCGATTGTCTGTACACTAAAGTTTAGTCCTATTCAAAATTATACGGTGCATACTGAATATCAGGATATTTATTAAGGATATTAATATTTTTATAAAACTTTTATCTAGTTGTGAGCAGAAACACTTCGTCTTTAACGTCTGTGTTTTTTATTCTTTTACGTTCCCAGTGGAACATAGGGCTTCAAGCTAGACGCTTGAAGTTTCAGTAGCAGTGGTGTTTATTTCTACGGGATGGGGCTGCTAGCCTCATGCCCAAGTTTTCCTCTTTATCAGTCTTATTACTAGCTTAGCGAGGTTTGGGAGTGCGTCGGCCAGTGACCGAACCCCGAACCACCTGAGGAGTGGTTGGAGAGCATTCTACCGCTGTGCCACCGGCGGCAGTAGTACAGTTTATTAGCTATTGAACTTGTGACTTTAATCTTATTTACTGTGTCTTGTTTAGGAAGCCGTAAACTTCGTTTACTTAGTTACAATATGTGTTCATTAGATAATGGTTACTCAGCCTGATTGATAAATATGATGACATCAGCTGAGTTAAACTGTCTAACACTATTAATGTTCGAATAAGCCAAATGCGTTTTATCCTCACCTCTGTTTTGACTAAATTAACAGCCTTTTGTTAGCGTTATTTATTGTTTTAAGTACTCCATAGATTGTCTAAAAGCGCATAATGACAGCTCATTCTACTGTTGGTTTGATTAATGTTAAACACAGTACCATCAGAAGTAGTTTTTAATTTACCTGTAGAGGATTTAGATTGTGCATTTGTAGGGGTTTTCATACTCATATTATTACGTAACTCCTTTTAACAAATGTTTGTGACAACTCATCACCTTTGTTACTACACTAGTTTCATTAACATCCAATTTTCTTGACCGTTTTTTGTATTAGGTAACTCTACCCAAAACTTACTAATTTCCACCTGTTTAGTTAAAATAACCATAACCAAGTGTATTTTTATTTGACTAAATTTACACATGCCTACAAAGTAACTCATATATATTTGCGATTGTACAGCTAAGCGTGAATGAATTCGCCGAAAAGAGACTCTTCGCTGAACTACGTGTTTTGTTTTTCATTAATGTCTGAATGGGATTATTCATGAATTTGTGTGTCAGATAAGGCTTAGAAAATACTGAAATGAAAGAACCTAAACCAATGTGGTACTAAATAACTTTCTGTGATCTTTTGACGATCAGTAGTCATTTATGTATTTGTTAAGAGTGTCCCTATTTCAGAATCCCAAATAAATTAGATGATAAAATATATCATTTTTAAGAGATTTTTAATGGCTATAAATTTTGTTTATATTTTAGTGGAATACTTCGACCTGGAATGAATGCGCTGATGGGACCAACCGGTGGTGGTAAATCCTCGTAAGTTTAAATGACTAATGTTTTACAATGCTTCATTGTTGCTTGCCTTACAGCTCAAGGTGGACTAGCTCAAGTTTTCATTTATTCACTTTCCTTATACTTATTAACAGCAGTAACACTACTTGGTAATTTTATGATAACCAGCAAATGAGTGAAAATTCCCGACGTAATTCTAAAGTAAAAATTGAACTGATGATATCTGATATGCAGCTGGGTGTGAGGAAAAATACTCGCCATCTATGACATTGGCTAGTGGTCGCGCTATGTCGTGAATTGGCAGAAGTTGGAATTCATGCACGGGTCCCAGTGGCTTAATGGTTTACAAGCTCACCTTGTAACCATAAGGTCCTGGCTTCGAACCCTGGTGTCGGGTGCGTCCTGCTGAAGAGTCCCAAACTAGGACATAGGATACAGCTGTTCAGTACTTCCAGGATTTCCAATGGTTCTCTAACCGATTTCAGCTCATGATGAAATCCTGTAACCAATCACTCAAATCCCTACAAAGCAATACTTGAATATCAAATATATAAGATTACAAATAAAATAGAATTTAGGCACGAATGTCCTAATGTTATTAAATGGCTTGTCAGCGTGCTCAAAATTCTCGGCTTACAAAAATATTCTTAGAACATTAAACTAATTGTGACATGTAGAAGTGTGGAAGACACATGGAAAGTGTCGATTTCAACTACCATGTTAGCTAGTGAAGTTATGCCAACAACTGTCATTCTATAATGGGAAGAATGGATCACATGAAGTGCTTATGAAGCGTCATAAGATGTTGGTAGTGCTAAACTGTGCAAATTTCGGAAAAGGACACAAATAGTTACGTAATTCCTCATGAGACAACTGAATATTCAGTTCTTCAGAACTTCCTGATTGAATCCCTTCCATACCTCATTGACATTTATATTCTAGGCATAAGTTCAAAAGGTTTGTCTTGTTACTGAATGCTTCATTCATTATTTCTTTTGCGTTTAAATTAATTCACTTACACTTTACCTGATTAACTTGTAATCTGTAACATTTTCAAGACTTTTAGATGTATTAGCCGGACGTAAAGACCCAAGGTTTCTGTCTGGAAGAGTTCTTATAGATGGCAGACCACAACCGAAGAATTTCAAATGCATTTCAGGCTATGTTGTTCAGGTAAACATATTTAGCCACATGACTTTATAATTAAAAGAGTGAACATGCAATTGGTTAACATGTAACAGTTGATTTCCCATTTTGCTCTCCATGGATCCAGACTTTCTTCAATTTATTCGTAGTGATTCTTTAAACTTAAACCTGTGTCGATAACCATTGTCAGACAGGTAATGGATTAGTTTCCCTATTTGTAGAAGACGTCCATCAATTTTCAAAAATGAAGGTGGTATACTTCCTATGAATGCGCGATTTAGGTATTTTGTTAGTATAAATAGCTCATGTTAGGTCACATTACTTGATGCATAGTATACAGAGTTACATGAGTAATATTACAGATGCAGTTTATTCCCCATGATTTATTATCTAGCCTTTACAGACTAATCGATTCTTTATATATGCTTAGAACCTTGGTTCCTACTAAAACCGTGGTAATTTTACGAATAAGTCCCAGTGGACAATATCAAACTAGTATGAAACATCAGTTCAATACGACTTGATTTCTAGTATTTCTGTAAATTATTTTAATTTGTGACGAAGTCGATCTTAAAGTGAATTAAATCCTACAAATTATCATCTGAAAATTAATTACTGCTCATTAATGACCAAATATTGGATGGGCTTCCTGGAGTTCTTGTGAAAAGTCACGACTTGTAGAGTTCACCAAGTCGAGTATGACGACAGATGTCCACCGATAGTATCAATGAAAGTGTCACTATATCTTAAGATGACAGAGGTTAGATTCATAGCCCATTGTATTCCTAGTGGCTTAATAGTGACGTTCTACTCTCTGAACTTGAAAGTTCTGAGTTCAGCCCCCAGTGAGGTTGTGGACGTCAACTACTGAGACGTCTTAAACTAGGGCGGAACAACTGTCCATTGGTTACTAGTCTCCGTTCTTTGATTAATGCTGATTCTTGATGGAATCCATCTTGGAAATAAGCATATGCATCAATTCTGAAAGTTGTATGAAAAATATGAACAATAACTTAATGTGATATCTTACTTATTGAAATTACCGTATCACTGTTTGTAGAAACTCAAATACAACATTATCAGATTGCAAATAACACCGATGTCGGCATTCCTATATCTTTTATAAAACAGTATCTCTTGAAATGCACAATGAATGTCCGCTTTTTATTTAATAAGGAACTATACAGACAAATTGATGGTGTGGCAATGGGGTCACCACTAGGACCCATTCTAGCAGACATTTTCCTTGCGAAACTAGAGAATGGGCCTTTGAAAGATATAACTGATGAACTTGAATTCTATTGTCGGTACATGGATGATACGTCTTTGATTACGACAAATTAGGATGAAGTAGAGAACATCCGGGACAAATTTCACGGTGTTCATCCTGCAATCAATTTTACTATCGAAAAAGAAAGCGACTCTAGTATTTCATTCCTAGACGTCTTTATGACCAGAAAAGAGGAAGGCACAATAAGAAGAAGTGTATATAGAAAACCTACATCAACCGGTCAGTATACTCATTTTTTCAGCTTCGTGGCTTTGAAATACAAACGTAATCCATAAAGTACATGGTCCACAGAGCAAGAGTAATCTGCTCAGATGAATGTATCAGTGAAAAACTTAGTATTATTAGACAGTTGCCGAGTAAAAACGGTTATCCAGAAAAATTCATCGACAAGAATATTAATCAAAAATCAAGGCAGCCTAAGGAATCAGCATTTCCTAGAAAGGCCCTATTCTTACAAATTCAGCTCCTCGGGAATAACTTCAGTGAGCTATTAACACAATGCCTAAGGAATGCAGTAAGAAGAACACTCAGCGCTGTTGAATTACTCTGTGTCTTCAAAACCACCCCTATTTTGTGTTTGGGAATAAAAAATAAACTGCTTACTTTCACCTCTTCTATGTACATCTATCAATTTGACTGCTCCTATGGAGTGAGCCAGTAACATGAGCCGTGCAACTAGGTGTGTTTCTCGTCAGATTTTCGAACACCATTCTGTGTGGTTAAGTAAGAGAGAAACAAAGTCCATTTGTAGCGCTATTTTGTCTCATCTCGTGGATACAGAACACAAGACTGGTGTCAAAGAGGCTTTCAAAGTCATTTACCGCATACCAGTAAATCTTAACTTCGCCTTAAGAGTTCGTCTACAACATACTGCTGAGGCTGTCTGTTGGGATCCAGATTAAGAAGCCTAATTTATGTGTCCAAAAGAAGCTAGTTCAGACACTGTTCTTACCTTGACCATCTAGGTTTGAATGATCCTCAATTTTTGTTGGAATTTCCCTAATTTTAGTTGATCTTCTATTTGCTATTACATTATTATTTATACATCTTTGATGAACTGCAATTCCATTGATCGTACTTTACAAATCGATATTATTTAAAATCTCTAATATTGTTATTGACTACTATTCCAGAATATTCTTTGTATATAAGCATATATATAATTGTGGAGCCAGAAGAGGAAATTATCGAAAGAGATATTCTTTGCTGGATTATTTTATTTTTTATAGATGTCTGAATGAATATTATCGCTATATTGAAACAACAAGGAGTCTGAGTGGTGGTTTAAAGTTATTTTATGCTCACCTCAAATGGTAAACAATCAATATTAGAGAAAATTATAAAACTGAATGATACACTTTATTATTCATCAAACTATTTGGAATTTTGTCTCGAAAATGAATCACGATAAAAAATACACCCAGTAATTGAATGTATCGCCTACAGGTATCCAGACAACAGATTTCTTTTAAACATCACATGACACTTTTATGTGGCCTAGTGTAAAATTATTTGTATTGCTTTCTTCTTTATTACTTTCAGGATGATATTGTTATGGGGACTTTAACAGTGAGGGAGAACCTAAGCTTTTCAGCAGCATTACGTATGACAGTTCGTTGTACAACAGAAGAAAGAAATCAAAAAGTCAACGAAATTATTGACGAATTAGGTTTAAACTCTGTTGCAGACAGCAAGGTAAGATATAATACTGGTGTTGATATATTTCTATAACAGAAAGTTCAATATTGTAGGCAAACATTTACTTTGATGATCACATAGGAGACTGAACACATAGAATTCAGTCAGCACTGAGAACTAAGCAACATCACTTGGGTACATCCTAGTGATATATATATATATATATAACAAGGAAATCATAAGACCAATCAGATACTGGTAAAATTTGTCCTCGAAAAAGGTATTGCGCAATGTAAGGTGTAACCTAGAAGGAGTGATTAACTGGAAGTTAGAAAAGAGGCAGAAGTTGGAACGAGAAAATGACTGATCAATATGACTGTGTAGAATGGATAGGAACCAGTGGAAAGACGATAAAGTGCTTTTATAAAATCTGTATGAAAACGCAATGCTATTAATAAACAGTAATAGAGTGATAATAAAATATGGATGATGAGAATAATAATGATAATAAAATAATAATAATAGCAAACTTACATAATAAAAAGAAGCAAAAATATGGTAAGAACGCTACTCTGGTCATGGTAGGGCGAGTGAATGTATGTAGTGCTTTTGAATGCAGAGGTCCGGTTTCAGATCCCGAATAGCCAATGATTCAGTTATGTACAGATGGCGTATTCGAAGTCCCTTTGTGTGATATTAAGCGACTCTGTGTAGTACCGTGAAGCATTCATGAGAGGGTGTCTAGAGTTGACAAGGTGTTCGAGGATGGAGCTGCTACTATTCTTCTTTTCTCCTCTGGCTAACCAAGCTGGACAATGTTCCAGAATACGTTTGTGGACTTGACATTGCGTACGGCCGATATATTTTGCTTCACACGAGCAAGTAAACTGATAAATATACACTGAGGTGGCCAAAAGCGGTATCTTATCCTTAACGTCAGACTGGATAAACTATCTGCTGGAGAGTGTGATACGTAAGGTGGCTGCTTGAAATGTCTTCTTCAGACATTTTGAAAGGCGGTTTCTAAGGTATATATATGTATACATTCCCAATGTTTCCAATAATTGCCAGTAATAAAGTGAAGAAAATACCAATATTAATCAAGCTTAGTATACATAGAGAAATCTGTAGGTTCAGCCTTTCACTGATCAGATTTATTGACACAATCTTTATCAACCAAAATTTTTGTGTTTTGAATAGTTTACGACGACAATTTACAGTTATTTATTTTCAGTAAACAGCCTAATGTTTCTTTTGAAAAACACACGTCTCATAATCTGATAAAACAGATAATCTTATTAATAAATAGGTATATACAGCAAGCTGAAGTTTAGTTGCTGCAATCCAGAAATAGGCTGTTTTGTTCAAAGTTATAATGACTTATCAGAGCCTACTTCTAAGTAGTATATTCCATCACAGTGAATACTATTGATACTTGCCAAGGTAGAAGGATTGACAAATTATTTCCTGTAAATACTCAATTACTGTTGTCATATTTTTAAAAGCCTAATTTATTATACATCAGGACAGCATATTCTTTCTGGTGAACACAAGTCTAACCGGAAACGATATTTCCCTTTAGTAAGCCTGAAAGAAGCGAAACCGACAAATGTACCAGGATAATATGAGCTCAAATTTTAGTAATTCACCGATTCTCCTCAACTCACTACAACTTGAATAATACAAATATAGCAATTACATAAAAGATTTCAACATTCTTTCATCTCAACGACAAACAGTGGTTGACAAGATCTCTTAGAAACGTAGATGTGGAATGGTCTAAGTTGTTAAATTATCAATAATTAGAAGGGTCGACTATTTATAGGGTAGTTACACGAATATTCGTGAAGAAAGATGGGATTCGGAACTTTGAGTGGAACTAAAGTTTAACTAGAAAGAGTATGTAAAAAAGAACAGGTTGCATAACTACAGAAAATATCTTTTCATGAAATAGCAAACAAGGCGTCAAGTGATCAATGTTCCGAGAAAACAGTAAAATTTTCTAATCCAAACAGAAGATATAGGAGAATAAATGATGTAACAAAACTCTATAACGTTCTTCTGTAAGTATAATCACTAAGGTAACTCAAGGTGTAACGGTGGAAGACGAAAGATTTCATAGAGGAATGTTTATTTAGAATTTTGTATCTCTATATAGCCGAATTATATACACCTTATCTTCAAAGTACCATTTGCACAGATCTTCCGTGCTGTCCTACTTCTGGCCTTCCTTGATATTGTGTTTCTTAGTGTTCCTTTCACATCTCTCATGTGTCTCCACAACTCTGTATCACTGCTTCCTCTAACATCAAATCTATTTCCCTGTTTTTGATGTTCTTATGCAGATGAAAATCTCTCAATATATACTACTGATAAATCTTATCAGTAACACAAGCATACATAGATTTGAAGTTCATTGGTGGACAGTAACTAGCAGTGAAATCCAGGACAGTGTTCATTTCGTCCTATTTGGGACTCGTCATCTGGGTGTAACTGCATTCCCCAGTCACTGGATGATGGTGTTCCACCCCCGGCTGAGGCTCGAAGCCAGTGCCCATAGTTTTAAATGCCAAAGCGTTATCCACTAGACCACTTGGGTCACGAGAGCCATCTCTTGTGCAACGGGTCATCTTAATTATTTAATTGAATTTTAGATTTTCCCGTCTACTGACTGGACCGAAGTGCTCAGTCTCAGGTGGGAACATCATCACTCACTGCGGGATGCAGGTACATTCAGATGACTAGTCCCAAATTGGACGAAATGCGCATCCTGGATTCCACTGCTAGTTACTATCCACCAATTAATTTCTAATTAAACGCCCACACATTGTCGAAGCATCCGTACAAGAAGCCGACATTTCAGCCTGAGACCGAGCACTTAGGTGCAAACATTTGATGTGAAAATCTAAAAAATTGAATACATAGATTCAGTTTTAAGCATTCAACGACGACCACCTCAGCAAAAAGTAGCAATATAGGTCCCTTATGCTGTCTATTTCGAACGCGATATGACCAATAGATGGTGTATAATGACACCGTTTGATACCTGTGAGTCATTCAGTCTCAGGTTCTTGAATGTGTTCAGAAATGCAGACAGTAACTATTTTATTTGCTCTTCCAATATGTGTACTTTGGTATGTACATGTACAAAATAAAGTCATACAATTTTATTGCATCATTTATTCTGCTACATCTTCTGTTCGGTTTAGAAAATTTTACTGTTTTCTCGGAACATCAATCACTTGACGCCCTGTTTGCTGTTTCATAAAAAGATATTTTCTGTAGTTATGCAACCTGTTCTTTTTTACATACTCTTTCTAGTTAAACTTTGGTTCCACTCAAAGTTTCAAATTCCATCTTTTTTCACGAATATTCGTCTAACTACCCTATAAATGGTCAACCCTTCTAATTATTGATAATTTAACAACTTAGACCATTCCAGACTCGCGTTATTTAGAGATCTTGTCAACCACTGTTTATCATTGAGATGAAAGAATTGTTGAAATCTTTTATGTAATTACTATTTTTGTATTGTTCAGGTTGTAGTCAGTTGAGGAGAATCGGTAAATAATAAAGTTTGAACTCATATTATCCTGGTACATTTGTCATTCTTGCTTTGTTCAAGTATAACCGAATAGATTTTTGATGGAAACGGTTGTCAGTTGGTCATTTTCGTACATAGCCCTTGTTCCATGTCAAACGTGAATCTTGTTAAGTGTAACATGAAAGTATAATTTTACTCTATCGTCTACTTATCTTTTGTATAAAAGAATTCTTAACTCTTTTTTAACGTCTTCAATCAATAAAATTTATCATAATTCTTATTTATACAAAACTAGGTCGGCACCGAATTAGTTCGAGGAGTATCAGGCGGTGAGCGTAAACGAACTAGTATTGGCATGGAACTTATCACAGAACCGCCGGTGTTATTTTTAGATGAACCAACAACTGGTTTGGATGCATATATGGCAGGACAAGTCTTAAAAACTCTTAAAGCGTAAGAAAATCTAATTTGTTCTTTTAAAAAAAATGAAATTTGAACTTAAAAATTATCCTCTTCACTTGCAGTGTCTAAGGACTGATCTAAACATAACTTGTGTCGAATCCCCGTAAGCAGATAACGAAAATTCTCATAATAAGACTTTGCATACATCATAACTTACCACTGTGCTTGCTTCCCTGTAAAGATTGGTCCCTTTTAAGATATTTAGCCTGTTTTAAACTAGATTAGTAATCAACCATATCATTTTTTTTATTCCTTTACGTTCCCAGTGGAACATAGGGCTTCAAGCTAGAGGCTTGAAGTTTCCGTAGCAGTGTTTATTTTTACAGGATGGGGTTGCTAGCCTCATGCCCAACTTTTCCTCTTCACCAGCGTTATTTCTTACTTAGTGAGGTAAAGGAGTGCGTCGGCCGGGGATCGAACCCCGGACCATGTGCATGGTTGGCGAGCCTCCTAACCGCTGTGCCACCGACGCACAACCATATCATTACCAGATGATAAAAAAATATGAGCATGCCTTGAAAAAGTAAATTTATGTAAGTAGAGGCCATCAGACCTCAGTGTCAGTCAGAATTCATAGTTGAAAACATTTATTTCCTGATACGAATTTAAAACAAGCAACAAAGGTTAATAAAACAGGATTTAATGAATTCGTCAAATTTCGGTAGAACTCGTCAGCTGAATACTCTACATACACGGATATACATACTTTTGAAATTACATTGGGAGATACAAGACTGATAAGCAAATAAACTACATTGAATTAGTCATGCAGAAAAACAGGTGCAAATGTTTTCCAGGTTTTGTTCAAATAGATAAGGGGAGAGGGAGTATGAGAGATTGAAATTAAGATAAAATGCATTACACTTCAATTACATCACTTAGATAAACAATTAGTCATTAGAGATTATATCAAGAATTGCAAACAGAGTAATATCAATAGTAATAGTTAGAATAATAATAACAATAATAATAATGTTGAAGTAAGTTAAGATAATGCTACTGATAAAGGATAGTTTTAAATGAATTAATAATAATAAGAGGTAGAATAATAAGTAAAACGTATTACCATGGTAGGTTGAGAGTGACAACCATCTCCTTTTGTACACAGAGACCTGATTTATAAACTCAAATTGCACAAGCCTCTGCAATTGCAAGCATCTTCCTGTTTCTTTGTCTGCTCACAATAATGAATGACTTGAAAGCGTCGATATCATGTCCATAGTCCACAACATGTTTTGTTATTGAGGTTTTTGGCACTTTGCATTCAGCTGTTTCCAACCATTTTAGCAAATGCTCCATCATGCGAGTAGACAATTGCCTTTCTGTACGACCTATGTATTTGCTTCCACAAACACACTCAAACTGATATACACAGTTTGAAGTGTCGAGGATTGGCGACTGGTCTTTCACAGATTGTTGAAGCACTCGCTTCGTGGTGTTAAGGTAAACAAGTTTAGAATTCATAGTATCATATGGAAATTTATCATCTAAATATTCAATACACAGAACTTATTTTATTGTGAGTTTGCGTTGTTTTAAGAAAGAGTGTAAGTTAAAAGATTTTCTTAGTCACCTTTACTTGTTTGCATCAATAAATTGACAAAGAATATGCTTCGTACCCTTGACTTTGAAATCAGTATATATATATATATATGTATTCAACAAAAGGGACATTTAGTTATAGGGCAAAGTTAAAGATTAGAGTTCCAAGCAATGCGAACGCACAACTGAACTTGAGGCAACCAATCAGAATAACCGGTGTACTTATTTACTAGAAAAATACTGATAACAATTACGACCCCCCTAAACTATTTACCAGAAAATACAGATAACAAAAATAAAACACCCTGATTCTAATCATAACCGTGGTCCCAACCCTATTCATAATCCTAACGAGCTTTCAACCCCTTATCTAAACAGAACTTAAAAATGAGTTCGGAATGAAATTTGCACCACAATTCGTGCACAACTTTCATAGCAGTGCTATAATAATGGCAAGTCTCGTTATCCAATGGATCGTACGCGTTCAAGGTCATTAGTGCATTCACAGCCCTGTATTGCTATTCTTTAACTTGGCCATTTATAGAACTGGAAGTCAGAAATAAAGTAACACGATTGAAAAGCTACTTTTATAGAGGAGTAGAGAAGAAATATAACTGCAGACAGTAAAATTCAGTACTGCATACCATAAAAATTATAATTGCCAAAAAAATCAATAATAGTTTTATGTTGTTAGAAATCTGTACCTTTGATCTTATCATTTACATTGAATAAGATAGAATTGTGTAGTGGGTAAGTATTTGCTTAATATAAAACTGCATTGATACGTTGGCTGTAGTAGTCATTTGAATTTTGTGAATGTCTGTTAAGCCAAAAAGAAAGTAGAGGCTATTTCAGTGGATCAGCGGTAGGATGCCCAACGACCATGTATGTTGTCCGGGGGTCGATTCCCGGCCGGACCACATCTTAACCTCCCCTAGCCAGTTGTAAGCCTGACAAAATTAGGAAAGAGAAAGATTGTGCGAAGAAATATTTACTTTTCAATTAGATCCTCATCTCTGGCTCTACTCTAATATATATAGCATTTTTATTACAATACACAACAGTTTACCAAACAAGTGGCGATATGTTTGTTAACAATAATTAAACAGTGTCAAAATGTTAATGGGTTGATAATTAACGAAGAAAATCAATACACATTTAAAAGGTAGAAATGGATAGAATAAATTAATTTTACAAGGATAACACGTAATTAAAGATGAAGTGGTCAAAATAAATAAAAATAAAATAATTTGGACAAATATAATTTTTATAGTTTTTAAAGGTTTAGGAGGAGGGGGGCGACGTAGTCCTGTTTATGCATTATTGTAACGATGGCCACGGTAAGGAATGTGGCTGTACAAATTTCTTCTGTACACATAGGCTTGGCTTCTTCAGATGGATTCCGATTGCTTCAGCTGTCTGTAGAAGACGAACTCTTAGAGCAAAATTAAGATTAGCCGGAATGCGATAAATAATTTTAAATGCAGTATTAACATCAACCTTACGCTCAGTATCAACAAGGTGTGCTAAAATAGAACTACGAATAGATCTTGTTTGTCCGTTGTTTAACCATGTTGGATGATGTTCGGAAATACGACGATGAACTTGCCTAATTGTACGCCCGATGTAGCTGGCTCCACAACTGCAGTCAAACTGGTCGATACACATAGAGAAGACGAATTTAAGTAGTTTGTCCTTATTTCTCGAATGTAGAATGGGTGTGGCAGTGAAGAGACAACGTACCTCTGCTGCATAATAAGCTCTTTTAACTGCATTCTTCAGGCGCTGTGTTATGATTTCGCTGATGTTGTCACCGAGGAACTGCAATTTTATGAACATTGGTTTTTTCGGAACTGTAGCCATACTGACTCTCCTTGGTGCTGAATTCATATTTTTCTCAATGAATTTATCTGGATAACCATTTTTTCTAAGTAATTCTCTAATAATCTTAAGCTCCTCATTGAGGCAGTCGTCTGAACAGATTAACCTGGCTCTATGAACCAGACACTTTACCAGGTTACGTTTATATTTCAAAGGTACAAAACTCAAAAAATGAGTGTACTGACCTGTTGTTGTAGGTTTCCTATACACACTCCTTCTTAGTGTGCCATCTTCTTTCCTTGACATGAAGACGTCTAGGAATGAGATACTGTCATTACTTTCTTCTTATCTATGTATTCAGTTTTATTCATTATTACTACTCCAGAGCCTTTATCAGGTTCCGAAATTATTATATTCTCATTGTTTTGCAGCTTATCTAGGGCTTCCATGTGTTTCTTAGTCAATAAGCTATTTAGTTTCCGTTTACTATTTATATATCTATAACAACAGTCGACTAGAGTTGATTTAAGACTTTCAACTGCCTCAGCTGACGACAGTGTCAAGCCTTCAGTTTGTGCAAAGAAGTTTTCGAACTGAACTTGCATATCCATCCATCCAAAGGAAAGGTTTGCTGTGAGGCCAGCAACCCCACTCCGTAAAAAAACACCACTGCTAGTAGAGTGGTGGAAATATACTCAGTTTTACACCAGTGAATGAAATAGTTCATAAGACTGTACAATATAACCTTCATGGAACATACAGTAACACCAGTTTTATGCACAGATCGAAAAATAGGCTGAATAGTGTACAGGAACAGTTGATATATTTATTATCCAGCAGTCCAGTCTACAAAAATCTAGGTTGTAGAATAGTAACATTAGTTCACATGCTAGATTTATTGGAAAATTGGTCATAGTGTCCCGTAAATTTGAAAAAAAATCAAGTTTGCAGACCTAGGAGAATTTGATTTATTTAGATTGCTGATATTATCAGTAGATGATCTGACATAACAGAGAACTGATATAAGTTTCTACATCACGCATTTGTATGTCAGGTGGACGGAAAACATATGAAAAGGAGAAATAAGAATAATGTAATCAAAAGAATTAAGAATAAAGAAAATTAAAAAACAAAACAGCGGACTTAAAATAAAGATAAAGTACAAAACCTTATATGCGTTTATAACTGATTATTGGTCATATTATTGACAGTTCCTCGTCATTAGTTCCGGTGGTTTTATAAACTCCAGGTAGACACTCTACACCCTTTTGATAAGGTGATATAAACAGTCAGTGATTCTGTGGACTAATGTTACATCTTTGTCTGACTACCCTCAGCTTTTTTCTCCTAAAGTGGTCATCTAAGTTAAATAGTAAGTAGGTGTGTATAAAGCTGGCTTCACCTCTTGACTGACGCTTCTTTCCTAGACTCTTTATCCAACTTTTGTATTAATCATGTTGTGGTTTTATCCAACGCTGGCAGTTCTTCGAAAGTGATGATGGTCAAACTTCTACAGCATCTGTAGGTCTTCTATTGTTAATAGCCACGTTCCACGGCCGTACACTAAGACTGAGTACACTAATGTGCAGCACAGTCAACCATCATTTTCCAGTCGGATAACTCCAATTTGTCATATGTGGGAAGAATTGACAAAACTACAGGTATTTATGTGTATCCATGCTAAATTTTGTTGACCACTAAATTATCAGGTGAAGTTAGAAGTGAGCTCAAGTACTTCATTCCCTGTGTATCAAATCGAAAGTAGCGGTTTTTTTATTAGGAGACAGAAAACGCATCACAAGCTTATTTAGATTTCTCTAAAGTTTCAGATACTCGGTTAGTGGAGACGTGATCGATTTCAAAGTGAACCTCATTACGAAAGGGCATCAGCCAGAAAGCCATTAGACTATGATATGTTCATAATGTGATTTGATAGTAGTTAAGATGTATTAGCCATTAGACTCCAATTCAAAGTTTAAATTTAAATGTAATCCTTGTGTAACCTGAAGGTCATAGGTTAGACGCTCGGATTTACCTCATTTAAATGTAATCAAAGTTCAATAGCTCAATACGCAGCTTTTATTATTTAAAACCGATTTATTCTAATTCTTGTCATTCCATATTCCCTAACAGTTTATCCAGACGTGGCAGAACCATCATATTCTCTATTCATCAACCCAAATATTCAATTTACAAGCTGTTCGATTCACTGACATTGATTTATCGTGGACAGTTAATCTATCATGGACCAGCTAAAAAGGAGCCTATCCGTTATTTTGGTCATTTGGGTAAGTGAACCAACTCCTTTTCTATACCATATTACTTATATCAGTAAAACAAAATGTCACTGGTCGGCTAAATACAGTCACCATGTAACAGTTCCACCAGTGGAACTGATCCACTTCGTCAATGTGACATTCAGTTTTCAAAGAACCCTTAGTACTCTGATGATGACAGTTAGGCGTTAACAAGCAGTCAAACAAAACAGTCTGAGTTACACTGTAAAGTGTAAACTATTGTCTTGTATTGAAGCCTAACCTTATTATGAAGCATAAATCAATACATTGCTAAAGTGAAATATCGATCATTGTTGATGTTTGAACTTAAGCGTATTCATTTTAAGACGAGAATGACAGATTAGTAGAATTACTGGATTGCACCCTGTTTTGAATTATTATTTTGATAAAATATTTGTAAGTTTCAGTTTTATTTTCATAGATGACTTTATCAAATAAATGTCTGGTTGTGTATCGCAATGCAAATCATAAGTTGTAAAATTCATTAAAAGACAGCTTCTGTTTATTACTTTCAAAGATTAAATATTCTGTCACACTGTTTGATGCGAGGGAAAAAATTATTTCAGCCTTTTAACAGGCATTCCCTCCTCATGGATACTGAAGGTTTAAATCTGCATTTCATTGACTGATGGTCAATTTATTGGGTTGATGATGTCTAGTAGTGGAGTACAGGAAGCACACTCCGTCCTCTAGGCCATTGGATCACAATAGTCAACTGCTGTGCATCGAATATCAGTTGTTTATGGGCGGTTATATGACAGATCCCTTTTGTGAACTGATGCCACTTTTATCCGATGAGGATTAGGGCGTTTCAGTACGTAGGCCAAAATGCACCAGCATGATATCATGGAAATTCAATAATGTATGTGCAACTTTTGAACTTATTGCCTGTTTTAGCCCATTACATTGTGTAGATATCAGTATCAAGTGAAATTTTCTTATGAAAGTGAAGCAGATGTAACGCGGTCCAAGAATATAATGCCATCGATAATATGTACTCCAGGAAAAAATTGTTTTTAATGTAAAATTTCATTTAAAAAGCATACAAAAAAATGTAATTTGTCATTAGATCACCATAGCAACGGACGTTGACGCTACAATTAGCATAGAGAAGCACCTACTTGATACTCGTGTGGAATGTTGTTCCTTAAGCTGAGTGCTGTAGATTTCCACATAGATTTCAAACTAATGGACGCCTTTCTTGTTTTCTCATCCCACTCGATCCCAGCTGGCATTGACCTTCCCACGCGTGTCGCCTATAGTTGAAACGACGCTACCGACTTAAACTTAGAGAGGTGACATTGCTTAGATTTTTCTCATTCATGGTGATTGGTGTTTTTTATTGTTTGGGCTTTTCCATCTCCTTTGCCTTCTTCATGTTCCTTACCTGTTTTGTCAACTTGTTGGTTTTTACTTCTATTTCTGAGACCGAGCACTTCGGTCCAATCAGTTGACGGGAAAATCTAAAATTCAATTAAATAATTAATATGACCCGTTGCACAAGAGGTGGCTCTCGTAGCCCAGTTGGTCTAGTGGGTAACGCTTTGACGTTTGAAACTATGGGCACTGGGTTCGAGCCTCGGTGGGAACATCATCACCCACTGGGGAATGCAGGTACATCCATTTGACGAGTCCCGAATAGGACGAAATGCGCATCCTGGATGCCACCGCTAGTCATCATCTACCAATTAACTTCTAAATAAGAAGTTCTGTTTAGTCAACTTAGTGAGCGCATGTGTTCAGTTTCCTTCATTCACTACACTGCCAGTTTACGGGAGTATATGCATTAGTGCCTCACGTACAGTAGAATAAACTTTGGACAAGCAATAAAATTTATTCTCAATATATGATATACAGGGGTCAAAAAATAAAAATAAATGAATAATAAACAAATGCAATATTTGTAAATTATTAAGATAAATCTAAAATTCACCATTTAACGTTTCAAAATACCACAAGTTATTTATCTAAAAGATGTTTTCTAATAAAAAGAAAATGAGGCCATTTCCAAACTACAAATTTACATTTTATTAGATTTGGCTGATAACAAGGTCAATCGATGGCCAGATTTGAATTTATTGATTTAAAAAGGAAATTGGTGCATTCAGTGTGTGATACTCCAATATATTTAATTTCCTCTTCCGTTCTACAATTATATACACACATATACACAGAATATTCTAGAATAATCGTCATTAACAATATTGGTATTTTTAAATAATATCGATTTATTAAGATCAGTGAAATTACAGTTCAAGAAAGATGCATAAGTAATAATAAGCATAAAAATGTAATAGCAAATAGAATATCAAATAAAATTAAGGAAATTTCCACAGAAAATTAAGGATCATTAAAACCTTGTTTAACGGCCAAGGTAAGGAAAGTCTGTGAACCAACCAACTTCTTTTGGATACATAGATTAGGCTTCTTAATGTAGATCCCAACAGCAAGCTTCAGTAATATGTAGTAGACGAACCCTTCAGGTAGAAGTAAGCTTAGCTGGTATGCAATGGATGACTTTGAAAGCCTCGTTATCAGCAATCTTGTGTTCCGCATCCATAAGGTGAGATAGAATAGAACTGTGAATGGATTTTGTTTCTTCCTTACTTAACCACACAGGATGGTGTTTGGAAATCTGACGATAAACACGCCAAATTGTATGGCCTATGTGACTGGCTCGGTGGCATAGCGGTTAGGACGCTCGCCGACCACGCACATGATCCTGGGCTCGAACTCCTGCCGACGCACTCCTTTACCTCGCTAAGCCAGAAACAATGCTGGTGAAGAGGAAAGGTTGGGCATGAGGCTAGCAACCCCATCCTGTAAAATAAACACTGCTAAAGAAACTTCAAGCCTTTAGCTTGAAGCCCTATGTTCCACTGGGGAACGTGAAGGTTTAAAAAAAATGTGACTGGCTCACTCCACAGGAGCAGTCAAACTGATAGATACACACAGAAGAGGCGAAATTAGACAGTTTTTCTTTAACTCCCAAACGCAAAGTAAGGGGGTGGTTTTGAAGACACAGCATAATTCAACAGTACTGAATGTTCTTTTCACCACATTTCTAGGGCGTTGTGTTAGTATTTCGCTGATGTTATTCCCGATCAACTGAAATTTTAAGAATAAGACCTTTTTCGTAACGGTTGGTACTTTGGCCTGCCTTGACTTTTGATTCATACTGATAGTGATATTCTATTTGTTATTGTATTTTTATGTTTATTATAACTTATGCTTCTTGAAGTGTAATTCCATTGATCTTAATCAATAAATCGGTAGTATTTAAAAACACAAATATTGTGAATAACGATCATTCTAGGATATTCTGTTATATATATATATATATATATATATATAATTGTAGAGCTGAAAGAGGGAATTATCAAAAAGAATATATATATATCAGTTGAACGTCTCTAAATGAATAAAGAGTGAAAACAAAATATTAATGTTCCTTGTATCACTTAATTTCATGTTTAAAGGTTTTCGAAACTCAAATTTAATATTAGTTCATTTCCCTTCCATCAAATAGGCGTCTATTTTATCAGTGAAAACAAAGGCATAGCTCCATTCCATTCACCACCAATCTACAAACGGAACCCATGACTATATTACCAATCACCCATTCGATCCGTCTCCAATACCTATGATTTTCAGTTTATAACAGGATACCAAAAAAAACGAAGGGGTTTTCATAGGAAATAATGAGGTTATTTGATTTTTCTAAAAATAACCAACAATAGAATTGAACAGAGTACTGAACTCTATATGATCATAAGCAAATCTGTGAACACTCTAATTATGTGAATAAATTGTTATCAGATTATAGGATTTGTAGGGATTTGATTAATTTATGTTGTTACATTTAGTCGCGAACCAACACCATTCAGACTAGCTATTGGAAAGCAAGGAGCACTGAACAACTGTTTCGTCCTATTTTGGGAGTCTTCAGAAGTGGGCAGCCATAATCTCTTCAGTTTACGAAAACAGGCGCTTCCTGACCATTCAGGCTCTTGGGCTGGAATTCAATGATCCGTTAATTCCGACTTTGTCAATTTGTGATATTCACAGCTACCCTCGTCAGTGCCTTCAGTGAGCATCCATTTCACCTTGACATGGTAGACCCTACTGATCACAATTTTTTACTACATCTGCAGGATATCTATCCAGCAGTCATCAATGAGTTGGTAATTGATATTCAGATTATGGGATGTGTGAGGATTTGGATTAATTTCAGCTGATAGGTTTCATTTTCAATTCAATGAAATAATTTGGCAGAGTGACAGTATAAATTAAATTATAACATCAACTGTTAGAAAGTTAACTGACACTCTGAAGATTCAGTATGAACTCTTTCCTTATTTTATTTCAAGACTATAAACGCTGTACTTTTAAGTAGTATTACTTCTATTATCCTTACAATTTCATCAAAAAGTGTTTAAAATCCAGTAACGACACTAACAAGAAACCATCATCAAAGACTATAAGAATATTCATCCTACCATATATGAGAAATATCTCTGAAATAACAGCTAGAATATTAAAACCGTTTGAAACAGATACAGTACACAAGCCAGCCAGCGCAATCACTTCATTCGATATTGTGCAAACCAAAAAATCCAACAGAAATAGAAGATAAGCATTAACACCATTTGCAAAATAAATTGTATGAACTGTAACAAACATTACATCGGTCAAAGTGGGCGTTCCCTATTAATCCGAATCCAAGAACACAAATTAGCTGTAAAAGGGCATGATATATATTCTTTCACATCAATCCATGTAGCTAATTATGGACACCAATTTGATGATTGGGATAATGTAGAAATAAAATAAATAAATAAATACCAAAACTGCAAACAGGGAATTCCTAGAAGCCTGGAACTCAAGTGAATCAGCAGTTAACAAACATATTATTATAGACCAAATTTACCACCAGCTAATAAAAAGTAAATTACATGACAAGAAAGTTCAAATTCTAAGCCAATGAATGACTACCAGTCACGAAAATGGTTGCCAGGAGACACAATTATATCTCTCATGGAGAATTCAAATGAATTCATTTTATGCTAAAACTTGAGCTGAAGATGTTGTGTAGGGGGACGACGAAAGCTTGGCAACTAAACCAACCAGCTCAGAGAACACAACTAATGCTTCATTAATAATAATTTGCTTTATTTCAAAACAGTAAATGCGATACATAATGGAATTCTCAGCATTTTTACTACAGTATTGCATCCACTTAGTACATTATCAATAAATAGAATTCTACATAGATTAAGGAAATCTCAGTTCATTATTACAACAACACATTGCAATGTCGGTAGCAAAGGTAAAGCTGAACAGTGTTTGAAGGTGTTAGAAAAGTAGATGCTAGCATATTTACTGGCGTAGGCGAGAGAAAGAAACAAAGCAGCACATAACGGAAAAAAAGAGAGAGAGAAAAGGAAAAGAAAGAAAGAAAATGTTGTACCTATAAATGATATGAGTTGGAAAGACGAGATCCAGTTGTACTACTGACTATTTAATGAATTATAGGTGTCACGCCTAATGCTTTCTTTATCGCACAGAACACGAGCCAAGTAGGGTATGGTTGAGTTTTTGTACTTGCTGGTGCGAGCATATAGTTTTCTATATAGGCTTCTGGTTTTGCCTGATGAGATGCAAGGGGAGAGTTGTGAGTGAAGAGGGTGGTGTGAGTTAGATAAAATGGATTTGGCCCATTTTTCACATTTCCATGTGCCTGTCATGCTATTATCATAACCTAAATACTGAATTCCTGTTTCATTTCACCTGATTCAGTTGTGCATCTCTGTGGACACACTCACGAATCAACATCATCTAGTGAACCATGGGAAAATATAAGAGCACATGCATACCTGTTTTCTTCATATTTGATAATGTCTGAAGTAAGGTTACTTGGAGCCATAATAGGAGTGGTTTTTAAAATTTATTTTCATAATATAATGCGAATACTGATTAATTTTTGTGAAAAACAAATATTTTAGGTTACATTTGTGAAAATCACAACAATCCGCCAGATTTTTTCATGGATGTCATACATGGTGAATGCTTACGTCAACAAGGAAGTGCTTTAGGTGAGTACAAACACACTTATATTTCAGATTATCCGTATCTTACTGAAATTTAAAATTAATATATTTGTTTGCACCAATGTTGGAAGTAGCATGAATAATAGTACTTGTAGCAGAACCATATCTACCGTGTTTTATTTCAGTTTTAAAGAGAATTCGCGAAATAGATTAGAAACATTACCATCATGAATACTCATTTCAGTGTTTGTCATAATTCTTATTATTATTGTTCCCTTGGGTTCCTAGTGGAACATAGGGCTTCAACTGCACGCCTCCACTTGCTTCTGTCTTCTGCTGTACTTTTCACCTGTGTCCATGTTAGTCCATACTGTTTCAACTCTTCTTCACACGATCTCCTCCATGTCACCCTTGGACGTCCCACTCGCCGCTTCCCTTTCGGGTTCCACTCGAGCACCGGCCTGACGCGCGATGTCACCCAACGGCCTCCTCAGCGAGTGTCCAATCCATCTCCACTTCCTCCTGCATATTTGTTGAGCGATTGGTTCCTGTTTCGTTTGTTCCCATAGTTTCTTGTTGGTGATTCTTTCCGGCCATCTGATCTTCAGTATAGAGCGAAGACAGTTGTTGATAAAGGTCTGCAACAGGCTGTTGGAAATATTCTTTGTGACCCGCCAAGTTTCTGATCTGTATAGAAGAACTGACTTGACGTTTGTATTGAAAATCCGTATTTTGTTGTTGATGCTGAGTGACGAAGATTTTCAGATTGGTTTCAGGTTGATGAATGTGTTCCTCGCCTTCCCGATTCTCGATTTGACATCCTCGTCCGTTCCTCCTGTAGTTGAGACAGTGCTCCCTAGATAAGTGAATGAAGTAACCTCTTTCATAATTCTAGATACATTTTTTACTAATTAACGTTGATGTTAACGAAAACTTACCTTGAAAAGGAGTTTCGCAAAACCAAAATATCTGGAAACCATTAACAAATCTCGCTTTTGATCATAGGGAATAAAAAGACAGTTGCAGCGAAGAAAATTTTCTTTTCGACGAAATCATCAACAAGGCTGTACATTCGTGTATTTATAATAAATGAGTAGGAAAGTCCCAGAATAATTTCTGATCAAGGGTCAGACTAATAAAATTACAATTAGAAATTGAAATGCCATAATAAACAGGGGGATGGAAAAAACTCAAACAAAGTAGTATCATAATTACTGAGGAGATTGACGTTTGAGATTGACGTTTTCCTGCAAGAAATAGTTCAAGCAGAACGCGAAAGACAAACTGTCGCATTGGGCCACTTCAACGTGCATATACCAGTTTACTTGCTCTTGCGGAGCTGAGTACATCGGCCGTACCATGCGCCAACTTGAAAAACGCGCTCGTGAACACTATCCAGCCTGGCTAGTAAAAGGAGAACGAAAACGGGTATATAGTTCAGTGACAGAACATCTGGTCAATTCAGGACATTCAGTGCCATTCGGAAAATCCTTCAAAATAATATAGAAGATTCGATCAAACCTATCAAAGGGAATAAAATTAAGACATCTGGGCATAGCCAAGGCACTAGCCATCCAAAAGCTCAAACCCAAGCTATGTGTTCAAAAAGAAATGCGTTCAACCCTTGTCCCTGCCATGGTCATCATAAACAGGTAATTCTTATGATAGTGATTATCCCATTGACTTTCTTAGCCAAACTTCCTGTTTATTCATGTTATTTTAAGTTCTTTTAATCCCTATTTACACTACCATATTTTCATATCCTAACTTCCTGTCTATTTTGTTATTTTATTATTTCTACATATTTAATTCCTGATTGCATAAACAATTATTCGTCACATTAGTTATGATCTCACTAGATTTTTTTATCCAAACATCCTGTCTATTGTTTTTATTTCTACATTTCTAACCCCTAATTGCACAATATGTTAATCTCCTCAGTAATTATGATACTACTTTGTTTGAGTTTTATCCGTCCCCCTGTTTATTATGGCATTTTAATTTCTAGTTGTAATTTTATTAATCTGACCCTTGACCAGAAATCATTCTGGAACTTTCCTACCCATTTATTATAAATGCACAAATGTACAGCCTTGTTGATGATTTCGTCGAAAAGAAAATCTCGCTTTCTTTCTTCTGATATCATTGTGAACATTTAAGTCAGTTTGCTAACTAAAATGTAGGTGTTCCACATTACGCTAATTGTGTAAGTTCTGTTTGATGCATTCCACATTCGGATAACCATTTTGTTTAATTAACTTGGCACATGCAGGTAGCACACTTAGTCACCACCAATCAATTGTGCCTCATAGCCTAGCACCTGTAAAATGTCCTTTACTGAATAAATACACGGCAGAAACGTTCTGTCTCTTAGCAAAAGTCAGACTTCAACTGTTTTTTGTAAACAGTGTGCTTTTTTCCAAGTCGAAATCCGGAAAATACTAAATAGCCGTTTCGTCCTAGTTTGAGATTCCTCAGCAGTAAATATCCATGTCCCAACTGGGGAACGAACATGAATAACAGACTAAAGTGTCGACTCTGGAGGAACTTTAGAATTAATCATTTGAGGTTGTTTTTGAAAAATAGAATAAAAGATTAGCAGTCAACAGGTTGACTTTATATATCTTGGTCTACGTCTTGAATATGGAAAAGTATTTATGTTAGGTAGTCACTAGTGACTGAAAAAATCAGTGTATCTAGGTCTCTTGAATTTTTGAAATTTTTGAGTAAAACGTATCCACAAACTCAAAACTAGTAGCATTGGAGTTAATCAATAAATTAAATTAAAATGAAAAAAATAAACCGCTATGAGAAGTTTCATATTTCTATTTTTACTTTACACGCGTGACTAGTTCACCGATGTATTAATTTAATCGATAACACTCAGATTTACCAAATAACATTACCAGCCTTGTTGTGGCTAAATACTACAAAACTGTTGTGAATATGTCGGGTAAAGTAGTCTAGATACTGCAGTCTGAGTTATTGTTTCCCGTCATGCTTCTCTCTTTTGCTATTATCATGACTTTTATTTAGATCTTAGTGATATTTTCATACCTCAGTTGAATTTGAAGTCTCCATTCGAAATTAAAATAGATTATTTGAATGATGCTCACACTACCATAGTAACCAGTTGCTATAGTTGCATGGATTATATTTCTCTACATCTAGTATATATATGTGATAGTTTTTATTTACCTATATGCCATGCTATGTAAAAGAGTTTAAGTAGAAATCATTGGGCTTTCCGGTCAAATATTACATGATAAAATTTCGATTAAAACAGAGTATTTTGTTCGTCAAAAAGTATTATAATTTATAGGTGCCTGGTTTGAATATTTCATTACCTGTTAAAATAAACACAAAAAATTTCGGAAAAGGATTGGTGATTTATGTATGATTATTTATTTATTCCTTTACCTTCCTAGTGGAACATGGGGCACCTTCAAGCTAGAGGCTTGAAGTTTCAGTAGCAGTGGTGTTTATTTTATGGGATGGGATTGCTAGCCTCATGCCCAACCTTCCCTCTTTACAAGTTTTATTGCTGGCTTAGGGAGGTAAATGAGTGCTTCAGCTGGGATCGAACCCCGAACTAGATAAGGCGTAGTTGGTAAGCATACTACAATTGCACCACCGACGCACCTAGGTTTCGTGCTAGTTGGCACTCACTAGTCAGCAAGGCGTATCTGCAACCTTGAAGGAACTCATATCTCTTCTGAGATTCGAACCCATGTCATCCAGTGAGAGCTGCAGTTCGAGACGTTACCACTGAGACATTCGGGCTCGGATAACCATTGCAAACCAGCAGGGAGTAATGGACAGCTGTTTCATCCCACTAGTTTGGGAATCATCGGCAGTACGCACCCACTAGGGTTGGAACCCAGGACCTTCCGGTTACAAGGCAAGCTCATATACCATTCAGCCACTGGGAGATTGATGATTTAATATGCACAAATTTATCACTTATTTTGTCCGATATTCAAATCTGAATAGCAAGTAAATCTACGCTGCCTAGAATGTAAATCATCAGTCGCGTTAATGAGTATGGATAGCTTTACTAGAAAAGGAAACTCTAGTCTCTTATCACAATGCATTTTGAATGATCTAATTAACAAGAGAAAACGGAAATTCTAGTAAAACAAACTGAATGATAGATGTGTTTCGATGAGAGAAGCTGTCTGCAGTCTAACTTATTGAGTTTTCAAGCTGTTTGGTTGATGTTTAACCATCTTTAACAGTACAGAGGGTACTCACAAATAATCGTTTATTCAGTGTTAAGTTTCTTAGCAAAGCATGGTTTTCTTTCTGCAAGTTATGGTAAGCTGGGCTGTGTAGTATGCTTCACAGTATGTTTCTGTTATACAGTCCCACTGTACGTTTGGCATCCTTAACGTAATTTAACATCCCTCTTAGAAGCAAAGTGAAGGTTAAGTTATAAAGGCGATCTACCTTTTGAAAATCCCTACAAGTATCTGTTTGATACCAGAGTACCAGTCAGTATTTTAGCCTCTGTGGTTTAGTGGTGGGGCACTCATCAACCACTTAAGTGGCCTGGGGTTCGCCTCCTGTCCAACGCACTCCTAAACCTTGCTCAATCGTAAGCAGGTCAGTAAAGAGGGAAGGTCGGGTGTGAGGTTAGCAACCCTGCCTCTTAAAAAAGAAACACTTATGCTACTGAGACTTCAAAGCTCAAGCTTGAGGTCTTATGTTCCACTCGGAACTCAAACGAATAAAATAAATAATGATAAATAAAAATAACCAGAGAGTATTTCACCGTATTTATACATTGAACTTTTTGTACAATTACTTTAGATCCCAGAAACTAATACCTGATTAAAGCTGTCTTGTATTTAATCAAGCAAATCCTGTGAGAATTCAAATTCTACTTTGTCCAATCAGGCTTTCTGTGGTTTAGAAGCTTTCTTGAACCACCACTAAATCTTTTACTCAAGTGTAATTACGGGCTCAAAATGACTGTCGTTTTCTTCTTCTTCTTCTTCTTCTTTACATGCAGGAGTGATGTACTGTTGACTATCTATTTCTTG